GATGTCATAATTTTTTATACAAGCTACAGATTAAATAAATATAACTTATGTTGTGCTTTATTTGTGGGGGTTAACCACCACTGGAAGAACGTACCGTTTGGAGTTGGATTTCTGTCTGATGAGACTACTGAAAGATTCATGTGGTTATTCAAATCATTCATTCGAATAATGGGAGCAAACATCCCATAACAATCTTTACCGATCAGGATCAAGCAATGGCAATAGCCATTGCAAAATGTCTCCCACAGACACATCATAGATTATGTCAATGACATATCTATAAGAAACTGCCTTCCAAATTACATTGTGGAGTGCGTACTAAGAGTGTCTGTGGTCTTTTTTTATAAATGCTTGAGCAAGTGTGATTCTGAGGAGTTCGAAGAAACGTGATCCTTAATGATTGAGTTGGGAGAACTACAAAGCAATGTTTGGTTAGATGAAATGTATCGTATAAGGCATAAATGATCAACAACATTTAATAAAGATATACTCGGTGTGAAAATCTTATCAACACAGAGAAGTGAGTCGACCAATAATGTTTGTCATGATGTTTCAAAGCCAATTAGCTCTCTCACGGATTGTTTTATCGATCTTGAAAATATAATGAAATCGTAGCGCTGGAGTGAGAAAGATGAAGATTTCAAATACGGTCAGTCCGTCAGAACACCCATGGTTAAAATCAATCCCATGCTGAGGCAAGCTGCCTCATTCTTTACAAACAAGTTTTACTCAATGTTTGAACAAGAGTTATTGAATGACTTATGTGGGCTAACATCTGAAGTATCAGTAGGGAGTGAGGCTAAATATTATGTTTCAAGATTGGATGATGAGAGGACAAGGCAGCCCTAGAATGTGTTAGTTGACAAGGTTACATGTAGTTGCAAAAAGTTTGAGATGATGGGGTTGTTGGTCTCCCATGCACTATTTGTTCTAAGTTTCGCAAAAATAAAGGTGATTCGGGAGAAATATTTCTTATTGCGGTGGTCCATCAATGCTAAAAGGGACATGTATAACAAATTTGGGTGCAAAGAGCTGAAAGACTCTGGATGTAATAATGTTTCTTCAAGTTCCCTTATATTCAGTTCATGCTCCCAAAAATTTGCATATAAGCTCATTAATAGAGCAGAAGGACATGAGTTAGCTGAGGAGTGTCTGTGGGAAACGTTTAAAAAGTTATCAGGAGATATTGATGATGCTATAGCAGGGAGAACGATAGAATTACACAAAACAAAAAAGAAGCATAAACCCAGAATAATAGAATGCAATGTGAATGACCCTGCTAAAAAAAGGCCGAAAGGAGTATCTACAACGAGGCTGAAAGGACATTGGGAGAGAAATAAGAAAGCCAAAAGTATAAATTTTTTATTTTACTATTTCCTCATTCCATTCCATGTATAATGCGTACTTCTAATTTGACCCATTGCGTTCGTCGAGCTGTGGATGCATTCCAACAAAGTTTGACAAATTGCCTTACCCAGGTATGTTGATAAAATTCAGTATCATATCACTATTTTTTATATAAAATAAATTTACTCAAATTGATCTTCGAATTACTCCCCTGCTGCAAGAATACTACGCACCACAACTAAGTGAAACACACACTGGACTTTTGATGGATTCCATAAGTGAGAATTTAGATTGATTGATATTGTAAAAATTGTAATACTGTATCATCTGTAAGCCTTTTTATGAAAGAAGTAATTGGTGGTTTATAATATGTTTTTGTTCAAATATTTCTGTCTTAATCTTGTTCAAACGTAGATATCAACTGTAACACCCTGAGCAACACGTCAATAAGACTCTGAGTAACACATAGATAACATGCGGGTAACACGTTGAATAACACGATCAGTAACAAACTGAATAACACGGGAATAAAATGAGAATGACACGAAGAATAACACGAGAATAACACGTCAATAACACAGGTATAACACGAAGATAATACGAGAATAGCACGGGAATAACATTGGGATAACATGATGAATAACATAAGAAAAACACATCAATAACACGGGAAGAACACGAGGATAACACGAGAATAACATGGGATTAACGTGGAAATAACACGAGGATAAACATGAGAAGAACACCTCAATAATATGAGAATAACACGAAGAATAACACGTGAAAAACACGAGGATGATACAAGAATAACATGAGAATATCATTGGAATAACACGAGGAATAACATAAGAGAAATATGTTAATAACACGAGAATAACACGTCAATAATACGAGAATAACACGAGGATAACACGACAATAACTTGCATTACTGCCCTCTTAATGCGCTGTCTCGCAGCAAATATTCCCTGTGTTACCGGCCGATTAATCGGTGTTACTCTGCGTTACCACGCGTATTCTACCGTATTACTACACCGTGTTACTGCCGATTAATCGGTGTTATTCCAAATTTCCTCGTGTTATTCATACTATCAAATTTTTGCGATAATTTTTTAAACTTTTTCAGATAAATTTTATATGATAAATTAAATAGGATAGATAATATTAGTATATTTATTGACTCAGGGTGTTATCTACGTGTTACTCCCGTGTTATTCACATGTTACTCTCGTGTTACTCAGGGTGTAACATATGCGTTACTCTCTTGTTATTTACGTGTTAACTACATGTTACTCTCGCGTTATTTACATGTTACTCTCGTGTTACTCTCAAGGTGTAGCATATGTGTTACTTTCATGTTACTCTCGTGTTATCTACGTGTTACTCCCGTGTTTTTACATGTTACTATCGTGTTATTCAGGGTGTAGCATATGTGTTACTCTCGTGTTATCTACGTGTTATTCCCGTGTTACTCAGGATGTAGCTAGGATGTAGCATATGCGTTACTCTCGTGTTACTCTCGTGTTATCTACGTGTT